TAGATGGTAGCCCTCCTAGACGGTAGCCCTCCTTGACGGTAGCCCTCCTAGACGGTAGCCCTCTTAGACGGTAGCCCTCTTAGACGGTAGCCCTCTTAGATGGTAGCCCTCTGCTCCACACAAGTGGGCTGCAGTTGTTCAGTGGTTGGCGGTTGCTTCAGGAGGGGCATCCAGCATAAAAACAACTGCCTAAGAGTTCATTGGGGGGGGTGGGGGTGGATTTAAGGGCCTTGCTCAATGGCCCAGAGTGGGACAAATGAGGGTGGAGGCAAATTTAGATGTAAAAGTTGGGGGATTCTAAGGTTGTTTTCACACCTGATAGTCCGGTAGACTCGGTTCGGGACCAATATTCATGAGCTTTTGTTTACATTTGAGCTGGTGAGTTTGCATTCACACTGCACTGTGCAGTCGAGCCAACCTGTTGAACCAACTTGTTCCCCCGCTCGCCTGTGGGGGCGCTGCACCAAGAACTACTGAAAGAAACAACACAAAAACCTCTGAAGACACGTCTTCTTCTGGAAATAAAAACAAAAACGGAGTGGCATCAAGTTTTAGCAGTTTTAGGAGTTATATTTTGCCATTTTTCAAAAATGGACTCAGCATGAGCAGAAGATGAGACAGAAGAACATGGAGAATATTGTTTTTCACACAAGGCAGCTGACGGCTCCATATAAAGTAAGAGAAATGCGTGTTTGTTTGACCTGCGCTGTACTCCACTTCTTGCTTGTGGAGCGGGGTCCGGTCTGTTTACATTCACACTGTACTCGAACCGCGCTGGAGTTCTCTTCTACCGGACCAAGACCTAGGTTTTAGCCCGGGCCAGAGTTTGCCTTTTTGTTCCGTGACAGAGTTCGATGGCACGTTCACACCTACCCAAACGAACCGGACGGAAAACGAACTAGAGTTTGATTAAAGCGGACTAAACAGGGCTGGTGTAAATGCACCCTAACCTGGCGACCTCTGAATCATACCACTCCTCTTTAGTTTGGCTGTTTTCAATAAACTTTATTTGCTTCAAATTGGGGGCATTGCACTGACTGATTGTCCATGTACAAATCAAGCCATCAAATTCCACTTTCTTACAAAACTGACAAAGATTAAATAAAGGTTATTAATAAATAAAGGCTCAAAATAAATAAAGGTTAAATATGAATTAAACAAAAAATAAAAAATAAAGCTGGACCCTCAAAGCCAGACTGATTTGGAGATTTTGTGAGAAAATCAGTGTTTGCATGTGCGTGCATGCGTGTGAATAAGAATGAAAAATAAACCAAGTGATCTATTGAGCAAACATCCTGCAGGTTAACTGGTTGGAAGTTTATGGACAATGCAGCCTGACCACAATCACATTATTCCTAAAAACACTCCCACAAAGTACCCATTGTTCAGACTGCATGCTGCAAGGTCAGAGGTCACGATCTGCTCTGCCTGCGGTTGTTCCATACCATAACACAACAAAACCTGGCAGTCTGCTCAAATTATCTTTGTGATTAAAATAAATTAAAGGGATTAAAATCAGTTAAATTAATTTATTATAAATATAAAATGGAATTTTAAGTTTTTTTTTTTTTTTTACATTTTTATGCACTAATAAAAAAATTTCAGTTAATTATATTTTGAAAAATCAATAAAATCAATCAACTAAAGCATACAACATTTAAACCCAATAAACAAAGACCAGGGAGTTCCCTGTTTTAAAGAGTTCCACTTTGATGTCACTTCCTGTTTCCCTTTGGCCATGCCATGTTAAAAAGATACGTCAACTATGTTTTCATTCATTCAGCCTTTATACAGGTTAATCACATTGAGCTGCGGGGACTCATTTGCAAGCAAGACCTGATTTAAACAAAAAGTGATGACAACAGTGGACAACAACAACAACAATAGACAATCATAAAGGATGCGTACAAATTGGGAATAACAAGTGAAAATAAAATGGTATTTGACAAAGTGCAACAAAAAAAAAAAACACTAGGTTGTAAGGTGATGTAAAATACTAAAAACAAGAACATGTCTGCATTGGTTTTTACCAGGAACTTAACAGATGTTTGAAGCCACTTAGAGAGGTCAAGGTCGAGAGCGTCAGATCTTTGTGCAAGATATTCCAGGAAACAGGAGCAGAGTAGCAGAAGGCCCTTTTGCTTAGTTCAGTCTGCACTGAGGGGACGCTGCAGGTAATTATGTCTTGAGAGCGCACGTTTTTGGTCTTTTGCCTTCATACATCTCCTCCTACATGTCACTGCGTGACATGTAGGAGGAGATGTATGAAGGCAAAAGACCAAAGATAAAAATGTACCAGTGAAAGAGTCTGTGTGACAAATTGAGACAAACTGTGTGTATTATACCAAATTTCTTTAATATTAAAAGAGGTTTTCTTTCACTTGTTGTATTTGTAGGACATTCATGCCACAGGCACTTTAACTCTCAACCTTTTCACCAAGTCTGAGATGGAATTATTATTAATAGTTATTTATTTATTTGTCATTCTTTGAGAATTACACAGTACACTTAAAGAAAAATAAAGGATGACTTGTATCTTTGAAGGCCTGAGATATTATTGAGTTGTGATTCTTTTCAAAAACTGTTTACTCTGAAGTGCTTTTTATTTTTTCCATTTTCACTTGATGCGGTTGCTAAACTTAAATTAAACTAACGCTTACAGGAACACAACAGTAAAAACAGAGAGTACAAAAAGTAGCAAAAGTGGAGCTGGCTAATTCTTGGGCAGACTAGATGCTATCCTGTAGGGCCTAAATGGGGTCAAAGCTGGTAAAATCTGCCGCTGAGCCGTTAGTTACTAAAAGTCTACTCGAATGCAAACACACCGGCAATATGCTTGACCAAACACACACACAGGAATTATGAGGCTCAAGTGAAGCTGAAAAGCAGATTTCCACTCGATCACCACTCTTTCAAATCTCTGGGTCAGAGGAACCTGTCAGCTGCAAACACTCTGTTGAGCACCATTACCAAAATAAAAGCACACAATGAGTGTTGGGAATGTTTCTGTGATGAGTCGTATTGCTAAATCATTGGTGAAAATGGTGCCTTTGTTTGCAGTGTGTGAGGTCAAAGGTCAGAACACTTTTTTTATTATTATTTAAGAACAGAAATCATCCATCCATCCATTATCTTTACCCGCTTCTTCCTTTTCAGGTCGCAGGGGTCACTGGTGCCCATATCCAGCAGTCACTATGCGAGAGGCAGGGGACACCCTGGACAGGTCTCAAGTCCATCACAGGGACACACAGAGACAAACAAGACAAACAATCATGCACACTCTCACTCACACCTAGGGACAATTTAGAGTTACCAATCAGCCTAGTAAATTTCCTTAATCTTTTTCTTTTGGGTGGCTTTTTAACACCGCAGAGCCAAAGTATCTTCTACTTATGTGTGTATTTATTTGTATTTTCCAGTCTCTCATATGGTTGTGGAGAAATTTTGGCCCATTTTTCTTTGCATCATTGCTTCAGTTCTACATCGTTATCAACCACTGCAAATGTTTTGCCTGTTTCTGTGAGAATGCTTGCCACTGTCTGTCCATCAGCAAAATACCTCTAAGCATTGAAGAGAGTCTAAAACTCTTACAGTAAATAACATATGTACATTTACAACAAATTTTTGAAGTCAACTTAAAACAAAAGGCGGTAACAGCTTCAACAAACACTAAAATGCAGGTAACTGAGTTTCATAGATAATGAACTTTACATTGATAGTAGAAGGTAGTAGTTGAGAGTCATAACCACCTTGTACTTTGATAACAAACTCATTGTGCAAAACTGTTGTTAAAATCAACATATAACTTTAAATTCAGTGGGCAATCTGCATTCCTTCAAGAAATCTTTGTTTAATTTTTACTCTGTTTAATTACAATTTTGTTGCGCAGAATTTTGATACAGTTTTGTTTCTAAATAGATAAAAATGTAAAGGTCTAGCATTCCTCTACCTGCATATTGACCACCATCTGTCATGCCAGGGTCAAAAAAATGATAATCTTATATTGGTAAATTGAGTTATAGACGTTTATCCTAAAATCTTTTAAATAAGTATTGTGCGCAAACTTACAGGTTATCGCACGATCTTGCAATTTTTGGTAACTCTTGGAGTATGTGTTGGAGAGGACAGCTTGTAACAAAGAAACGTTTGGCTCAATATTTCTAAAATTGACATAGTTACAGACTGTGTTGTCTAAAGTTGATTAGCTGTGGCAGCCATCCTGAATCAGGATGACTCATAGACCATCAGTTGCAGATGCACATCAAATTTTTACTTTCCAAGTTTGATTAAAATCCCCCCAGTGGTTCATGAAATATATTGCAAACAGACAAATGAACACTATCATCTGCCTTTTGCCTTCTTTGACCGTGAGCAATGATAAACTTGACCATGACATACGTAAAAATGAATTTCCATAGTATCCTTACCACCGGGACATTTTAAAACCATTTGAGATGTCCTAAAAAGATTTATACACAAAAAATATGGTCAGAAAAGTGAAACTTAGTGGATACATTTTCAACTGTGATATCTTTAAAAGCCTAGAAACTCAAGATCAAATGTGTTCTTTTCACATCATTTATGCTGCTGCTCTCCAGGTTAAACACCTTCAACACCATTTTCATTTCCTCATACTCCAAGACTTTATTTTCAAATTTAGGAATACACTAAATTTTAAAGACCCACCATTGTAGAGTAAATTCTAACAGGAACTAAAAGCAAACTCACCCAAATGAGTAGACCTGACTGGGCTTCTTCATGGTCACCCAGAAGCTGATGAGACAGGTGATCAGACTGCAGGTGAAAGGACAGAGATTGGAGAAAGAGGGAGGAAAGGAAGGGTGATGGCAGGTAAGGAGAGGAACAAGTGATTGATGAAAAGATGGGAGGGGACAGACGAACAAATACAGTCAGTGAATGACAAGCAATGGAGAAAAAAAAAAACAGACAGAACAGAGGTCAGCTAGAGTTCATGATCTTAGAATTTATTTTCCTTTATAAAAATTACAAAATAAAACAGGAATTTATTTAATTAGAAAATAAAACTAAAGTAAGAATGTTGCAAAAATGTTTCATAAACAAGATAAAGGCAGAAGAAACTCACCAAAAGAGGTCAAAGATTGTAAGATAAGTGTAGGCAGTTAAAGCTGTAACACAAAAACAAAAAGACAAATCAGTCAGTGAGACATTAGACACATTGATATTATTCTACTAACACTCCGGGTCCACTTTCTGCCAGTTCTGAGTTTTACAATTCAAGACAAAAAAAATGGCCTTTTTATTACCAGATTCTAAAAATATTCAAATCTAGCCTTAAGTAAGCATAAACAAAGACCAGATTTTGCCAATTCATTATTTATTCACCAAGTAGTTAAGCAAAAACAAGCCAAAATGGAAAAAAGTTGTTTGTGAAAAACCCAGTTTTGATCTGATCCAGCAGATTGTAGAACCTTTTTTAGCAGCAACGACTATCTGCAGTTTAACGTTTGCAGTCTCTCATATGGTTGTGGAGAAACGTTGGCCCATTTTGCTTTACATCATTGTTTTACTTCATTGAGGTCTAGCTTCAGATGTTTGTTTCTGCACAGCTCTCTTAGGGTGTCACCAAGTCATTTTGGTCAGGTTAAGGTCTGGATTTCAAATGGACTACTATCTTAGCCATTTTTCCTTTGTCTAGTCTTACAACTCTCTTTAGCTGCATTACCATTGATAAGTACAACTCCAATCAGTCCTCATCTTATTGGTTCTTCTCAGGTGTAGGTGAATACCCACTGTGACCTGTTTCCCCACTCTGTGGGCAGGATCATCATTGCAAAGTGGGCGGGCATCCATAACATCTATCTCTGAGTTCTCTGGTCCGACAACAAATAATAATTTTTTTTATTTATTAATAACCCACTTAAATTGTCAAACTGATTTGCAATTTAGTTGTGCTGTTTAATAATAGTTTTGAGATTTTAATTTTTAATTTTTTTTTTTCAATCCATCCAGAAGCTATGACTTAACTTTGTTAGATTTTTCTACCTGGATTATTAAACATGCATCAGGATTCAGGACATTAGAAACAGACTTCATAAGGGTGACCTGAGGGCCCGGTGTCCTCTAGTGGGCCCTATGCTCACTGCCCAGCACTGTGGAGCTTGAGTGGCATTTGCCAGAGAATACCAGAATTGGCAGGTCAGGCACTGGCACCCTGTTCTTTTCACAAATCAGTGCAGGTTCACTCTGAGCTCATGTGACAAACAACAAAGGGTCTCAAGAAGGCGCAGTCAAAGATTTGCTATCTGTTTGTTCAGCATGATCAATTTGGTGGTGGGTCTGTGTTGGTCTAGGGAGGCACATCCATGAAGGGACGCACAGATCTTTAAAGGATAAATGATGGCACCCTGATTGCCATTAGGTATTGGGATGAAATCCTTAGGCCCATTGTTAGACCCTTTGCTGGTGCAGTGTGTCCTGGGTTCCTCCTGGTACATGATAATGCCCAGCCTCATGTGGCAAGAGTATACAGGCAGTTCCTGTAGGATGAAAGAATTGCTACCAGTGACTGGCTTCCACACTCACCGGACCTAAATCCAATAGAACATCTCTGGGACATCGTATTTAGGAACATCTGACACTAACAAGTTGCACCTCAGACTGTCCAGGAGCTCAGTAATGTCCTGGTCAGGATTAGGAGGAGATACCCCAGGAGACATCTGCCGTCTCATAAGGAGCATACTCTAGTGTTGCCAGGAATACATACAAGGACTTGGGGGTGGGGGGGGGGCAATACAAACTACTGAGTACCATTCTGAGTTGTAGTAATGACATTTCATCCAATTGGACGAGCATGCTGCATCAGCTTTTCAGTTTAGATTTCTTGATTACATAAGATTAAGCCCTGTGGCTTGATAATTTTAATTTCCATCAAATAATGTGGCATCTTTTTATTCATAACACATTACCCATTCCAAATCAGGACAGATATCCAGCATGATTTTTTTTTCTTCAATTGAAGTCTGATGTGTTTTCAAAGTGTTCCTTTTTTTTTTTGGTTGAAAAGTGCATCTGATAAGCAGCTCTTGGCTAATACAGAAGTTCTATAAACTAGTGAAAGAATCAAGGGTGGACTTAGTTTTTCAAATGCAATTTTTTAGTTATGGTTTTGTTAATGTTTAATAAATATTGACGAAGTGGAATCGGTTGTGAATTTCTGTTCACTTGAGGTCAGATTTCCGAGGTCAAGAGAGAAACAAACCCATTTTAAGCTGACTCGATAATGGTCAGTAGGATACGTTTTGTAAGGCCTTACAAGGCATTTCTAAAACTTTCAAGACAAAAGTAAGTGTAAAGCAGAGGCTTTTTACAATCAAGTTTCACATGACTCAGTTTATCAAAATGTTGCTTAAGGTTTTTGGCTAGAAATTTAATAAGGTCAGTCAAGTCAGGTAATCAAACCAAACAATGAAATACTGAGAATGGCCCTTTGTTCAAGTCTAACAAACCTGCCTGTCCATCTGCCAATATTTCAGTTAAAACATCCGTCCTCCAACTTGTCTGTCTGTCTGTCCTAATGCCTGCCAACCAGCTTTCTGTAATCAGGCTCTGCTGCGGGGGGGAAAGGAGACAGGATTAGAGAGGCTTTGTGCTGGGAGGAACGATTTGTTTCTCCACTATTGGAGTCCATGTTGGCCAACCTGACGGACTGTAATCCTCCCGACACAGAGGCCTGCAGCAAACACCCCGAGACAAAAAAAGAGTGATGGATTGACTGGCTGGGAGGGAGACAGATGGATGAGACATTGAGGCAGAAAGACAGGCTCAGAGAGAGGTGAAAAGGCAGAAGACAGAATAATGGACATGTGGACAGACAGACTGACAGAGGAAAAGTGAAGGAATGAGGAGTGCGTATATATAACACAGGAAGGGACATATAACAGAGGAAGGGTGGCACCGACTTCAACAAGGAAAACATCCAAAGGGATTTTTTTAAGTATAAATAAATAAATGAATGAATGAATGAATGAAAACAATTTGACGTGCATTTTGTGGTTTAAGACATTTTGCTTCCCACACAGGATGCTTTATCGATTCAAAATATCTGGAGAGTGAAGCGATTCAAGCTTTGTATGAGTGCATGTGTGCTACGTACTTCGATGCATATGCAGATTAAATCAAAACTACAAGCTCCTCACGGCAGAGTCAATGAGGTCTTTGTTCGCCTGGTTCACAAGGGAGATGTTTTGGTTACATGCATGAAGGTGTGAATTTGAGTGGAACTGACTGGGACTCGGGTTTAATGCTGCAGTGCAAGATACTGAAAAAGAAATCGGAGACCTCCAAGTAAAGTTTTTTTTTTTTCTCGTTTGACGTTAATGGCTTCTTTAACCACCCACCCCCACCCGGATCATGTGTCTTCTCTGTCCCAACTATGAACATTTTGGTCCAGAGGTGCAGGTGCACAACTGAGTCTTGTCCTGACAAACATTTTAACAGTGTTTTATGCATAGGTGGGAGTACATGCTACTCTAATAATTTGACAATGCCACCCACATTGCCATTCAGATTTTTGACAACTGAAGTCTGAAATGACTAAATACATGAAAAGCCTAAATTACACTTATAATTATGAGATGGCCGAGTGCAACTGAAAGCAGCATTTCACCAGCACAGTTGGGCACTTCCCTTCCCTCACCTCAGTTGCAGGATGCTTCCAACATGGCAGAGAAAAGTGACTAAACCTGTACCAATTTTAGATGAAATGTAATGATTAAGTGTGTTGAATGAAATGTGACTAGTTCTGTTTAAGTAAACCAAAACCAAGTTTGGCTGACTGTTTGTAGATGCTATTGGGTGTTAACATTTAAAAACCTAAAGGCAGAAAAGCTAATGGCACAAGCTATCCTAACAAGGCGAGAGAACAACAGCTGAAAATTCAACTTCATGCTTCCTCAACCTGTCATTGGCATCATAACTGAACTTGGATCATTTCTGCATTTTAACCATCTGTCTGTTGATAATACAGCATTTGCCATGTCAAGATAGACTGAATTTAATCATGACAATATTAATTGGTATTACCAGTATCAACAAAATCAAAGACAGCCAAGTGAAGCAAATTTTAGCCAAAGCTTCGCATCAAATAACTTTTTCCTTTTTAACCTTTTTAAAAACTACTGAATGATTTACTTTATTTTTCCCATGCCTGCCATAAACAAAAATGTGCAAAAAAAAAAAAAAATCAGGAAACAAAATGTCTCAAAATATTTAAGATTCTTACGTAGAAAAAAAGACAAATACAACCAGAACAAGTAAGAGTGTGATCTGGGAGAGGTGGACGGGGAAAGAACGCTCTTCAATGCACGGTGTGCACAAGAATCTACACACAGATCTTTCTAATCTAAGTGTAAGAATGCAAAGGGGATACCAAGAGAAGTTCAACACTTTGTGTACCACGAAACAAACATTTTCCTTTTAAATTTAGAAACACAGGACGTATCAATTTGTATGTATGCTGATTTACTAAAAGTAAAAAAAAAAAGAATTTAAATGTGACACTGATATAGAAATTATTATTTTAATGCTTTTATGCCAATCTAGACCTA